ACACAGATACACATACACAGAACAGACAGACAGAGATAGACAGAGACAGACAGAGACAGACAAAGACAGACAGAGATAGACAGAGACAGAGGCAGGCAGAGGCAGACGAGAGAACACGCAAAACTAACCTGCCCGGAGAAAAAAAGGTTTCATGATCAAAATCTTCTGAGACAAACACGTAGGCAAAATCGATATACCAGCAACAAAAATAGCACTTGGTAAAGACAGTAGCAGTATGATAAAGGCACTTGTGGACTTCCCCCCTCAAAGCGGCCGCTGTGCGGTATGGCCCCTCCCTCAAACACACGGTAGCACACTTCTCGTCAAGCTCCCGCCCGTCTTCCCAAACTTCCCCGAAGGTTCTCTTTTGTTCCCTTGTTGCAAATGGACATGAAACACTCATAGCTCACTACCATACACCTTTCACCTTCTCCTCTGCTTCTCCTTCAATGCCTCTTCCTTCTCTATCACCTCCTCCTCCTCCCCCTACTTCGTCACGCCCTCCTTCTCTGCCTCCTTATCTACCCCTTCTCTTGCTCCTCCTCAAGATTACTGATCCTTCTCCTCCCCCATTGTTCCCTCAGCATGGTCAAGCAACTGTAAACTTCTCGTCGCCGCTAACGCCGCCCCCATTTCCTCCTCTACCTCCTCCTCTACCTCCTCCTCTACCTTCACCTCTACCACCTCCTTGCACAACTCTTCTCCTCCTCCACCACCTCCATCTCCCCGTCCTCCTCCTCCTCCTTCTCCTCCTCCTTTTCCTCTTCCACCTCCTCTTCCAACACCTCCTCCGCCTTCTCCGTTGCCCATGGCGCCATCCCAAAGCGCTGAGTTCCTGAGAAAACACGAGCATTTTTCGTCATGAGGCTCTAAAAAGGACGCGACTCATCAACAATTAGCAGAGTCCAAATTAAGAGGGGTAAGAGGGGTAAGAGGGGTAAGAGGGGTAAGAGGGGTAAGAGTCCAAATTAAGAGGGTCAATTCTAAACTCTTTGTTGTGTTTTGGGCCCTTAAGTCACGTGATCCGCCCCCTTCCCAATATGGTGGGTTCGGAAGGGGCAGGCCCAACAACAGCTGTTTTTGTCCTACGAAATCACGAACCTGGCCATTGCCATTGATATGACTAACTGGTAGGTCCCCTTCACATTCAGGCTCTCTCTCTCTCTCTCTCTCTCTCTCTCTCTCTCTCTCTCTCTCTCTCTCTCTCTCTCTCTCTCTC